TAGGTGAACAAAACTATTATACTCTGTAGCAACAGGTTGCAAAACTAATTTTTTTCGGAGAACTCTTTAATTTTCGCGCCATCAGTTATTAAACTCTATATAGAATGTATAGTACATATAAGATAGCAAAATTGCCCAAAGTGGGTGCTACCATATTGGTCAGAGAAATGCTTCTCCAGTGAAGTTTTATTTTCAGTATGTACGACCGGACAAAACCTGTCTACGCCATCCACAACGTTTGTGCAAAACTCCGGTTTTTATAGATTCTCAAGGTTGCCTTCTCATTATTTTCTTCAATTTTTTATGCCTCTTAACAGTATGTCACCTTTAGTGTGTAGTTTGTAACCCTGTAATATTATGTTTTTATTTCCAAATCAGCATAATTAGTTAATATTTATATAAACCAGATTTTGTGTTAACTGGAACAACATACTGCAAGCACATACATTCGAGGGACATTTATATTGAAAGAGAACAACGGTAGTTCAATTAGGTCGAAAAATTTAAGCAATTTTAAAATTTTACTTTAATTTAATATATTTAATTCTTATACTGACTGAACATGCTGGATATTTCAGGGACTGAATTCATCATTTAAAAGTCAACCAAATGGTTATTTTTAGACTATATTAAACAAAAAATAATAAATAAATTAGCCCACACCCGTAGAATTATTTATGCAAAGTTTTGCCGCGATAAGTTTTGAGTATAATTAACAAACCCCAATAATGAAAAGACACACCGAAATACATTTATCTTCCCGTTTTTATTTATTTTTGTCTTTTTCTATCAATACTTTATTCGTATACTGTTTACACATACATAGGTATGTACATACTTATGATTGTAAACTTTAAAACATTCTGGTCGTAAGTTAAGTTAAGTTGTAAATTACCAATTCATGCGTGTTACCTTCATTGAAATTTCATTTCAATAAATAACAATTTTTATTATTTTAATTATTATTAACAAGTAAGAAAGAGCAGTTTTCAGATGAAATTTTGGATTTGAAATTGGATGGCATTAATATTTAGTATAGCATGAATATGTACTACAAGTCCTAGACTCATTAAGTTTCACGGCAAAATTTTGCTTCGTGTTCGAGATATTTATATTAAAATTCACCTAATTATGATGGGTATACGATATAAAGCCAACCGGAATTCGAATTTCTTATATTAGGTGCTATACCTATATAGGGCTAGAGGTAGTACTTATCCGATTTTATCCATTTTTGGCATTACGATGTTCTATTACCAGGAAAAAAGACTCTTCTAAGTTTCATTTAGATAACTTACTTTTAAACCAATATATACAGAATAAAGTCAACCAGAAGTGCAATAATTTTTGTATTAGGCATACGAGGGCTTCGGAAAATATTGACCCGATTTGACACAAGGACACATTTTGATTAGGAAATATAGGTAATTCTCTTTAAATTTCAATAATTTAACTGACGGATTGACTGATACTTTTCATAACAAGTCTGAGGTCCACATATTCTGCGACTTGAAAGTTATGGTCCGATTTCGAATATTTGTCAGAGTGAGAGAGTGTTCCTTGAGAAATTTAAAATTATTATATATCCGAAGGAGGCGTTTATGTAGTCCGATTTTGTCCGGTTTCGGATTGTATCACATCAATGTTTACAGTGATCCCTTCGAAGCCTTCCAAGCCTTCCAAACGCACCTTGACTATGAATTTTATTGATTCTGACGTATTGATTTAGTAAGTTATCGCCACGTAAGTAGTTTTAATACTCAGTTCCCCACTGCCTGAGGATGCCTACAAAAACTTGTCCTCAGAAAGTCTGGTTGTTTTACCTTTAATGGCTCGGGAGATATGTACCTTAAACCTATTAGTGGTGGGGATGATCGGTTGGACTAAACTAAACAACTTTTTAGTAAGGGGACAATTTTATAGAAATGGTTGGAATTTGTTATTATAAGTGAAGAACTTGATAACGAGGAGACCCCTTTTTTACAAATTTTTTAAGGTTAATATGAAATATTACGTACCGTTATTTACACTTAGATATACTTTAGATAAATATATATTCTCCAAAAGTAAAGAGTAAACATAACCGTGTGCACCAAGCCTAAAGAACTGAAAACACACATTTTTATATTATTAAAGGTATGTCGAAAACATTTAGCTGTAATATAATTTACAAGCACATTTATTGCAAGTTGTAAATTTATTATAATAATTCACTATAAAAATTGCAACGATATAAACAACTTTTGAACACACAAACTCAGCAAGACCACAGCAAAAAGTAAGTAAAGAAGGACCAAGTTCGGACGTAACCGAACATTTGATCACATATATTATTTCACATATTGGTTTGGGAATTTTTCCAACCACAGATACCGATTTTGTATATTATTGTGGAGTTTACTTATGGCAATTTATAGGTTTTCGATAAATGGCCTTTATAGGTATGACAATACGCCGATTCCGTCCAACTACAATGCCAAGATCCCTTGGGTGCAACCAATACACATACATATATAGGAATATCCCAATATACTCAAGCTACATCTTGCACAGCCGAACGGACGGACAAAAACCCACCCGGATTTTATCTCGTCTCGTCATCCTGATCATTTATATGTAAATATATAACTGCATATCTTTTCGATTTATTTTAAATGATACAAACACCCTTAGGTGAACAAAACTTTTATACTCTGTAGCAACATGTTGAGAGAGTATAAAAAAGAAAATGAATTGCATATATTGGCTAAACGAAATGCTCGCGGGAGATAGACTGCCAGTGGCAGTGAAAACAGATAACGGAAGATGTGGGAATGTGGAAATTTGTACGCATCCGTCTGAAGAGAAACTTTTGGGCTGACAATGAGGCAAATAATTCATTGCCATGGTTGCAGACCGTGTAGCACATACACCTAGTAGTTTATATGTCTATGCAGAGCCGGCCACAGGTGTTACAAGCACGCTTAGGATAATGTGGATATTTGCCGAGTTACTTTCTACCCATACACGCACGCAAGCAGATACCATAAAATTATAGTTTGAAGCAATCATTCGAAGGTCGTTTCAATACTCTTGCAACATGTTGCTACAGAGTATAATAGTTTTGTTCCGCTAACTGTTGTTTGTATCACGTAAACCTAATCGATATAGATATGGAATTCTATAAATGAATATAAATGATCAGGATGACGAGATCAGTTGAAATCCGGGTGACTGTCCGTCCGTCCATCTGTCCGTCCGTCCGTTTAACCGGCTGTGCAAGCGATAACTTGAGTAAAAATTAAGATATCTTGATGAAACTTATTAAGCACGTTCCTCGGCGAAAAAGTAAGGTCGAGTTCGTAGATGGCCGTAATCGAACCACTGGCACACCCATAAATTGCCATTTATCGACAACGTATAAAGTGCCATAACTAAGCCATCAATAAAGATACAGAACTCAAATTTGGCACAACGAATCACATTGAGGAGGGTCGTTTGAAAACATTTAAAAAGTGGGCGTGGCCTCTTATAAGTTTAGTGTCTATATCTCCCAAACCAATTAAGCTATATCACCCAGATTTGCGCAGGTCAAATGTTTTCAATCCTTCTTACGATAGTGTGAAATTGGATGATAACCTCGGCCACTCCCATATAATGGTTTTAGAGACATTAAATTTTACACCCAGGATGGCACAAGAGGACTTTGTGGGAGCCGGTATCAAAATTGAAGGGTCAGTGTGGCACCGCCCACTTTTAGGTGAAATCATATATTTCGGGACCTGCTAGACTGATTTCAACCAAATTCAGTACATAACATGCCACACTGGCAAAATCGGACAAGAACCACTCCTACTTCCCATGTAACACAATTTTAAATTCCATCTGATTCTTTCACATTCCAGTATACAAATAAAGCACCAATTTATAAATATAACGGGATAAAACTTTGCACGAATAGTGCCTTTGAAGTGTGTCACCAAAGCGAACCAAAACTGTAGAAGACTCTAGGTTGTGAATATGTGGACCCCAGTGGCTATAGTTGACTTTTTACCGAAAATATCGGTGAATATGTGAGATATATATGAAATTTGGAGAGAATACTTTTCTGATAATAGTACGTCTTAATGTCGAAAATGAGCTGAATCGGGTCAATACTTCCCTAAGCCCCCGCATACCTAATAAAAAGTTTTTCGAACTTCTGGGTGACTTTATATCGCATATATCGGCCAATATGTAAGTTAACTCAATGAAAATGAGATGGCGTGTTTTGCTAATAACAGAGGTGAAAACTTGACCTAGCCCCTATAGAGGTAGAATTTTCGAAAATCCGGCTTTCTTCACTCCATAACCTATGATTGGTGATGGTATGTGAGGTACCTGAATGAAACTCTGGAGGCATTTTATTTGTCTGTAGCATTTTATTAGTATGTGGTATTGGCAAAAATTTGTTACAGTCAATACTACCCCCAACTCCCATATGTCGTTACAATGTCAAAATAATGAAAAATTAAATTAAATGCGCAAGTTTTCTTAAAAGTTATGTGGTTTATCGGTCAATATGTAAGTTAACTTATTGAAATTGAAAAGGCGTGTTCCTCTAATAATAATGAATCTTTTTGCTTAATATGGATAAAGTTGGGTAAAACTTGCATCAGCCCCCGTATAACTAATTACAAAATTTTAAAAAATTTAGCATAATTTACTCCTTATATGTATATTGGTGATGGTATGTGAAGTACCTTAACGAACGTAAGCTAATTAGATACAAAGTTGATTGTAATCCATTTATGATTTTGTCGAATAATGAATGTTGAATTTTTTTGCAACATTTAATATAAAATTTTCACATCATCTGAAGGTATTTATCCGGCTTTGATCCATGCAAGTTGCAAGAGTATAAAATATTCGGTTGCGCCTGAACTAAGACGTTCCTTACTTGTTTGATGTTATTTCGTTCTTTTTCTTACTTATTTGTCACTTTACTAACGTCTGGTACTTTTGTAATTTTGTGCTTGCAGATGGTATCGTGTTTCGGATTCATCAGCATTGTACCCGATTCCATCTTCACAGCGTGTAATATTGTCACGCACGCTGTTACTTATCAAAAATGCTGACGAACGGGACGCCGGCAAATGGGTAAGTGAGCGCTGAAAAGTAGCTTCAACTTAAGAAAGTGGACTGCTCTACGATACACTGAGCTAGAGGAAATGAGTTATGTGTGCATAAAAGCCTATATTACCGTGGGTCTCAATCATCGCACTTTGCAGTGGAAATCGAGTTAGAAATCTCATTAACGGCAACTTGTGGAAAACTGCGTAATTTGCCAAGGAAATTGTCAATTTGCAGTGGCATGTTGCCATTGAACGCAAGCCCCAGCGTTTTTTCTGTGCTTACAAGATTTTCTATGTTTTCCATACACAAGTACTGCATCTCACATCACTTTAATTTTTTCCGTCTTTTTTATGCCCAGGTGTGCCAAGCGGCGAATCAATTCGGCGAACAGCGCATCGAAATCCGTCTGCTGGTTAACTCATATGTGTCGGTGCATATTCTGCCGCAAGTGCAAATTGTCAATTCGGGCGGAATGGCAATTTTCAACTGTTCGACCACGGGTTCAGCTATCGATGGCGTCGAGTGGCTGCACAATGGAATGCCGTTACAGGGCAACAATGCGCTTAGCAACGGCCGGGAGAAGTAAGTGAATGTTTGAAGTCTGAATTAAAGCTTAGATAAATGCAAGCACATTTGTACATACATACATATATCCTGTTTCCACATCTGAAGGCATGGCTACGAATCCGTAGATTGGGGCTTCTGGTACTACTTGAAACTCTGTATTACTAACATTAGAAAGCGCTTTCGTTATAATTTACTTTTTCGTAAGACTGGAATTGTTTAAAGTAAGCTGATTGGTAAATTGGAGTTTTGAATTTCTTCAAAACTCGCATCGAAATTTTGCTACAATTGTCAAGTGATTTGCTTTTAGCTGCACTGGCAACAGCAAAAACACATAAATTTTAGTGGATTTGTAGATCTGTAGATATGGTTTTCAGCTTTTTGATTTAAACGTCCAGGTTTCGGTGCATTGAACATTGTTACAACATTGTTCCTTAAGAGACACAATCCGAATATAAAATGAGTAGGTAAGCGGAAAGTGCGGTCGAAACCGATTGCTAAGGACACTTGTTAATTTGAAAATGGAAGCAGTGTGTTTCAGCGGCAAGTAGAAGTGTTGTAGTCGGGAAGGGTTGAGTTTGGTCGGAATCAAAGATGTAATATTCTCCCCAATCGTACGAATGTAGGGAGCGCGCGTGCATTAGACATACTGTTACATTGTGACTTTAAGTATGAAGTACTTTCATAAAATTATCTCATATTCAGAACAAATTTATACGTTCCTACGAGATCCTTATATACAGAATGGGGACTGGAAGTCGTTGTGAGTATATAAGACAGTTAAAACATATCAATCGTGGCGTAAAGTTTAATTTTGTTTCAGTCCCATTTAAATTTTTGACTTAAATAATGTCGGTTCCAATAAACTTAACTTTTTCGAAATGTCTTTATATGGAAACAAGTAAGGAAGCGCTAAGTTCGGATGTAACCGAACATTTTATACTCTCGCAAAGTCAAATGGTATACTCGTTTGAGATTTCTTTGTGGATTGACTGATAATTTCGGTAGAAGGTCAACTATAGGCACTGGGCTCCACATATTTAGCACTTAGGGGCTTGAACAGTTTTGGTTCGATTTAGACAATTTTTGGTCACAAGGTGGCATACTCACGCAAAGTTTTACCCCGATATAATCATTGTTGCTTGATATGTTTTAACAGTACCGTTATATGGGGAGTGGGCGGAGTTGCCACCCGATTTCAACTATTTCCACACTGTAGGTAGAGGTTCTAAAAACATTTGCTTCCAGTGAATTTTGTTATTATAGCATTAGCGGTTTAGGAGATATGCACATTAAACCTATTAGACGCGGGACCACGCCCACTTTAAAAAACAAATTCTAACTGCAGATGCCCCTCCCTAATGTGATCCTGTGTACCAAATAACAGTCTTGTATCTTATTGCGGAGCTTAGTTATGGCAATTTATTTGTTTTTGATTAATGGCGTTTTGTGGGCGTGGCAGTGGTCCGATTACGCCCATCTGCAATATCAACCGTCTTATGGCACCTAGAAACATGTGTACCAAGTTAAATAAAGATATCTAAATTTTTACTTAAGTTAAAGCTTGCACGGACGGACAGACGGACGGACGGACAGACAGTCACCCGGATTTCAACTCGTCTCTTCATCCTGATCATTTATATATACATAACCCTATATCTAACTCGATTAGTTCTAGGTGATACAAACAACCGTTAGGTGAACAAAACTATTATACTCTGTAGCAACAGGTTGCGAGAGTATAAAAAGGCACACTATGGTTCACTCGGTAAAATGAATGAGTTGTGATAGCTCTACTAATCTATACTAATATTATTATATAAAGCTGAAGAGTTTGTTTGTTTGAACGCGCTAATCTCCAAAACTACTGGTTCGAATTGAATAATTCTTTTTGTGTTGGATAGTCCAGTTATCGAGGAAGGCTATAGGCTATATAACAACGCTATGACCAATAGGAGCAAAGATATAGTGGTAAATGTGTAAAAAACGGGAGAAATTATTTCATCTTTGAAGCCTTCCGTTGCGTGCGCCGTGAAAACGGTTCAATATACACAAAAAATATGTATTAATGAATAATAGCTCTTTTAATGATCTAAGAACAGTCCGTGATAGTATATGTCTATCTTTTAAGATTAACTCACAAAAACCGTTTTTATGGTACCTAATTTGGTCGAAATAGTTTGTTTAAGTTGTATCAACATAATAATATTAATCTTTATTCAAATAAATATGTTGTTGGTTAAGAGTACTTCATTGTGAATAAAATTGTCTTTGACATAACTTAATTTCAACAAAAAACTTTAAAGATTACAATGATAAATAACTCCGAAACAAAACCAACTCACTCTCTGCGCTGGCCGGCGCGGCGGTAGAGAGGTGGTACTTGCGGGCAAGCCGGGAGGGGGGTGTAGCTCAACGAGATACCATGCCGCGCGTCTCACTCGCGCGGTCGGCTCCCTACTGAACGGTTGAATGCAGCGCTAATTTGTTTATGCGATATAATTATCATCGTAATATTACTTTTTAAACACAGTTTCATTTTGTAGTTGTTTTCTATATAGTAGGTACTTTATTTGTTTTAGGATAGTATTTAATTACACAATAATAACACTTTTTTGTTTTCATGTAGATTATTAATTTATAAGTATGTGTTTTCTATAAGTATAGTATTGTTTGTTTTAAAAATAGTATTTAGTTTCTAATATTTTTTTTTTTTGTGGTACATAATACCTATAGGTACCTAAATAGGTGTCGCCTACTTAATTATTCTTATTAGATTAGGGTTTAGTTTAACGTATTCAGTTTCTAATTTTTTTTTTGCTTTAGATAAAACCTGTAAATAGGTGTGGTCTACCTATTTATTCTCATTAGATTAGGGTTAAGTTTAAGCATAAAGTTAGTTTACCTTATTTTCATTTTACGGTTGTTCTTTTGACATAATCGTTAAAAATAAAAGTAATTAGGTTGATAATTATTAATCTTCTTAATCTTACGTTTCTTTTTTTTTATTACGAGATACGCTTTAGTTAAGTTTTCATTTTCTTTTCTTTTGAAAATATGCACAGGTTGGCTACACAACGAGCAATTACTGAACAAAACCGTGCAAGGGAATCAAGCGTTGAACGTTCGCAGCGTTTAGCCTCACAAAATTTCCGAACTTTGGCGAACCGGCAACGGGAATCGAGTGCTGAACGTTCTCAACGTTTGGCCTCACAGAATGCCCGAACATTGGCTAACCGCGATCGGGAATCAAGCGCTGAACGATCCCACCGATTAGCACAGCAAAATGCCCGATCAACTAGGAATAGAACTCGCAGACAACATAATTTATTAAATGCTGCTTTTGCTTATGATTGTACCGTTGACTATTCTGAGCTAAATGATATTGATATTGGTAGAATGGATAAAATATGCAACTTATGCCAAGCAAAAAAATGGGCAGCTGAAACTCCTGGACTGTGTTGTAGTGGTGGCAAAGTAAATATACCTATAATTCCGGAACCAACATCCGTTTTAAAGAAACTGATATCAGGCTCACATCCATCATTTAAGCATTTCTTAAATCACTCAAGGCAATATAATACATTATTTCAGATGACTTCATTTGGTGCCAAAGAAATTCGTGAGGGAAACTTTATGCCCACTTTTTAAGTCCAAGGGCAAGTTTATCATTTAATCGGTGACTTACTTCCAGCTGTAGGGGCACAACCCGAATTCCTGCAAATATTTTTTGTTTCCCATGCAGATCAGGTATCCTTGCGCTCAAATTTAAACCCAAGCTTGCAAATCGATCTTATCGACGTTCTCCAAACATATCTTCATGATCATAATACGTATATTCAAAGTTTTAAGTACAATCTAAAAAATAGACCACCGAATGATTTAAAACTTATCATTCATGCTGATGTAAAACCTCCTAATGAGCATAGAGGTCGGTATAATGCGCCGGTAGTAGATGAAGTAGCTGTTCTTATGATAGATGAAGACAAAGGTCCCCGTGATATTGTATTGACTGCAAGAGATGGTCGACTTCAACGAGTTTCTGAAATTCATAGATCTTATGACCCGCTTCAATATCCCTTACTGTTTCCCTTTGGAAACAACGGATACTGTATTAATATTCCACAGCAGAATACTACGGCTACATCTAAAACTGTTTCATGTATGCAGTTTTATGCATTTAGATTCATGGTGAGAATAAATGACTTTAACAGTATACATTATTTCAAAGGATTCTTCAACCAATATTGTGTTGATATGGCGGCAAAAATGATCTCTGAGAGGCTAGACTTCATCAAAAGAAATCAAAAAAAATTGAGAGCAGAAGAGTACATTTATTTAAGAGATGCCGTCGTAAATGATGGACATATAAACGCTTCTAATATTGGCCAGCACGTTATATTGCCGTCGTCATTTACAGGATCCCCCAGATTCATGAATGAAAAAAGTCAAGATGCCATGACATATGTCAGGAAATTTGGAAGACCTGACCTCTTCATTACATTTACATGTAACCCCGAATGGTCAGAAATAAAAAGTGAGTTATTGCCCAATCAACATTCTTATGATAGACATGATTTAATTTCTAGGGTAATTCATTTAAAACTCAAGAAAATGATAGACCTATTAACGAAGAAAAATATTTTTGGCCCATCGAAAGCCTTTGTTTACAGTGTAGAATGGCAAAAAAGAGGTTTACCTCACGCCCACATTTTATTGTGGCTGGCTAACAAAGTTCAACCAGATTCTATAGATGCAATAATATCGGCTGAAATACCTGACATACAACAAGATCCGATTCTTCATAATATTGTCATAAAAAATATGATACATGGTCCTTGCGGATTTCATAATCCTACATCACCATGTATGAAAGAAAACGTTTGTTCTAAAAAGTTGCCTAGGCATTTTATTTCGGAAACACAAACGGGGGATGACGGTTATCCAACCTACAGACGCAGGTCTCCAGATAATGGTGGAAACACAGCTATAATTCGTGTAAAAGGTACAGAAATGAG